CCCCAAAACCCCAAAACCCCAAAACCCCAAAACCCCTAATCATGTGACGATTATTGGCTTAAAGTGCATTACTAGCATAATTTCTTGGTAATTTTCACATCTAATGGGAACTGACTGAGGATTCCATACCTCACATCTTCATTGTCAAGAAGCTTCTGATCAACTTTGTACTCAAATCTTCCTAGGAAATAGGCCAGGAACACTTTAAGCTCTAGATATGCGAAGGTAGGGGCTGGACACTTCCTAATAGCATTTGAAAAAGCTACAAAAGAGAGTGGCTTTCTCGCTTTCTTTTCTGTCCCCGGCATGTAATAGTATTCGCTTTCCGGATCAAATCTTTCTGGAATATATTCATGAGGCTTATGCCAGATAGTAGGATCGTAATGTCTAGCTATAAAGCACATTGACATCACAGATCCTTTGGGTAAGGGCACCCCGGCAATTTTTATATCTTCCTTAGCATAGAAATGCATTGACCTAGCGAGAGGAGGGTCAATTCTTAAAGACTCCTTTATAGTCATCGTAAGGTAACTGAGGTCCCTCACCTTCTCATGGGTGATAACCTTATCTAGATTCTCCTGTGGGCCAAGGTCTTCTTGCTTGAGCTCATCCATAACCTTTGTATATAGCTCTGGCTTTTTATTTAAAAAGTAGATAGTAGTTCAGAATGTCTCTGCAAGAGTCTCATATCCATCGAACAAGAATCCTTGCAAGTCATTGAACAGATCTTCCTTGTTGTATTCAGGGTGGTCTCTGAGGATAACTTTGTAACAAGATTCTTCATCTGTAGTAACAGCAAGGAAATCATGGAAGGTTGCTCTCCATTCTTGGATATTTTTCATATTGGTTTTGTTAACATTACCAATATTATTCCTAATCAGAGTCGGGAACAAAAGATTTAATGGCATCTCCAAGGCGGCCATGAGATCTTTCCCTAGTTGCGGGAAGAACTTATACAAAGTTATGACCTCTACTTCTCCGTTAAGATGGGTATAATTCATCATTCTGATCTTTTCATCAAAGTCTCTTCCAAGAAGAATGGATGAGATGACAATCAAGGTCAATTTGTACATCTCTGGAATGAAGTCGATTTCAGTACCTTCGTCCCAGGTATCCATCATCTTTTTACAGTTCTCAATCATGAGACTGATGTATCTTGATGAAAAGTTTAGTCCGATAGCCTTGGTAAAAACTGCTCTCCTCTTTTCCCAGTCCTTATTAGTTGGGGAATGTTGTAGGGCTCCAAAGAAAGTCTTTGCAAACGATAATTCCTGGAGATCGGTAAACTTGTCAATTTTCGAAGGGATTTGATTGTCGAAGTCCTCAAAAGCCCTTTGAGACATTAGATCAAAAATCCTCTTGTATCCGAAATGAGATAGATGGATATCCTTTCCCTCTTCGATATAGTCCAAGTAAAAACTCCATTTGTGTTTGTTCTGCTTATGTTTTTCCTCCATTAGGCTCAGATCGTGCATCGGAGGGTTAAAGTTCTTACTCACACAGACATTTTTAAACTGCGAATAGTACTTTCTCTTCTGGTAAGGAATAATCACGACTATGCTCAGGATGTAACCTGCGTATATCACCACGGACAGGGTTACAAGTTTCACAATCAGGATAGCTACAGCTGTAAAATCCATTTTTAAAGTATTAGTAGGAGTTAAATTCAGCTCTTAAATTATTGAAAGGGGTTTTGGGGTTTTGGGGTTTTGGGGTTTTGGGGTTTTGGGG